ATGGAAAGTTCACATAGACACTCTGTGTTCACTCTGTGTTCACTCTGTCAGTGAATTGCTGAGAGTTTGTGACAAGTGGCAGCTTGAAGTGATAGCTACACTTAGGCCCATGCAGATGTGTGGGAGTCTCTTCCAACATGTGGCAACAATATCTCAAACTGTTCCAGAGACTAGTGTAGATGATCTGTACAGGGATAATTGTCCAGGTAGTTCTGTGCTTGCTGTTTTCAATTTGTTGCATCACTCAGTTGTGTTACTCACTGCAATAAGTAGCCAGAATACCATGAACTTAGTTTAAGTGCATAGACTTGGGACTGAAAAAGGGTATCTATGTATGCCCTTATCCAAACTCAGTGCAAACTATGTTTAAGTACGCAGCACTATCAGGGTGTGGTACTAACAGCTGCTGTCAAGGCTTCTAGTAGCAACATTTTGATAACTGTTTCCCCTTCTCTTTTTCTGGGGCAGTTAAATAGAGTACAGTTAGTTAAAGTAGATGGATGCAGGTAGTATGCAGGTAACCAGAGAACAATTAAGTTGCAAAGTAGACAACAGTGCCGAACAAGACTACGTATGTAACTTGAGTTGATTACAGTTTAAGTAGTAGGCAATAGTTTGAGACCACTGTTGTGTTACACAAATTATGCAGTTATCTGGTAAAGAAGTGGAGTGCACAGTATATATTGTATTAAGCACTGTTGTTGGGCTCCTCGTCTTCACATGGCTCAGCTTGCCCTAGACTATTAGAAAATCCTGTGCTGTTCCCAGGCATGTAGCATATAACCAGTTCTTTTAGCTCATTTCAGTAGTAGCTCTGTGGTTGTTTGGCTTTCTCCCATCTTCGCTCTCACAGCTTCATGGCTCCTTTGGTGGTGCCCAGGCCAGAGTCTGTTATATTTTTAGCTTGGACCCTGAACAACTTAAAGCAACTGACTTTAAAAAATGGAGAAGCAAATGCCCCCTTTCTCCATAGGTAGTGGAAAATGTGAGACTTGTGGTGCATTTTTTAAATCTTCATGCCTTCTTTATTAGCAATTAAAAAAGACTGTGGATGACCTGCAAGCAAAGTTGGCCCTGGCAAAGGGAGAGTACAAAACTGCCTTGAAAAACCTGGAGATGATCTCAGATGAGATCCATGAGAGGAGACGGTCTGCTGCCATGGGGCCCCGGGGCTGCGGTGTGGGTGCTGAAGGCAGTAACACTTCAGTGGAAAACCTTTCAGCAAGCAAACTGGAGGCAGACACCATCTCCAGTAAGTATAAAGTTGTACACTTAGAAACTGCCATAAGCAGGTCTTGTGCTGCAAAAAACGTTGGATGAAGAAAGCTATTGATGTCTGGGAGTTTGTGATTGGATGTTTTGTGGCTTTGGTTAACTCAGTTATGATTTTAGCCAGCTTAACAATTTCTGAACCCTTGAGAATTCAGTCCTCAGGGAAACAAAGTAGGGTGGAAATACTCCCCTTGTGTCTAGCATGGCAGGGGGTGAAAAGCACAACAATGTAGGAAAGAAGCAGTCAATAAACATTAATGTTGAAAAGCACAACGTTGTAGGAAAGAAGCAGTCAATAAACATTAATGGATGTGAATGCAAGCTTCTGGAAGCCTATATCCAGTTGTTCTGTAGGCTGCTCCATACAGTTTGCTTTGGCTGAGGGTGGTCAAGATGTATGCAACTTTGTTAGTATGGGGAAAAAGCTATAGCTGTATAAAGACATTGTTATACTAGTATAAATACTATCCACTCAAGAGGTGCTCTACTGCTGTGTTTGTAGTGGTATAGGGAAAACCATTCAACTCTTATAAGCCTTTTGACCTTGCCTACACACAACCTGGGATAGGGACGTTTGCCAGTATGTTTCCATGTAAAAAGGGCAGTCAGACCTGGCACTTTGCATAAGGTCATGCTTGCTTAGTGTGATGATGATAATCAGGGCTGGAGATACCTGCCCTTTTGGCCTTCAGTGCAGCTAATGCTTCCCAAGATCATATGCATTGCGCTTACTACTCAGATCTGGTGTTGATTTTTCACCAGTTTTATGACTCTGTAATACCACTTCACTTAAGTTACTCCTTACTGTTACTGGTGTGAGCATGGGCGGATTTAGGATTTTGAAAAGGGGGTGCAGATGGTGTGGTGCATCAAGACAACACACATTTTTCTCCAGTTAAAAAGAAACTAGAAGATGTACTAATATGCTAGAGGCCCAGTACTATAGTATTCAGTTTAAGATCAAAACAAAACTAAATGCAGCTGCATTGGAATGTGCACTGGTTTGCTAGATTATATGTTTAGTTAAAAAAACAAAACAAAACACAACAAATTAAGCAAAAATAGTCAAAAGAGATGTCATTTGCCCTATAGTCATAATAGATATGTACATAAATCTCTTATTCAGATTCATAATGCAAAATCTAGCCTTGAGCATCCAATGCTTCACTGTTCTTGATCCACACCGTAGTTGATATTTACAAGAGTTAATATTACCACATTTAAGTTAGTTTTTAGCTAGAACTAAAAACCAATGTGCAGGGCTGTGAAATAGGAGAGAGGTATGACTGAGAATGGCTAACAGTAACATTGCAGAAGAAAGCATAGCTTGATAAATGGAAGATCGAGACCACTGAAAACAAGGAAGAGTAGTTAACACCTGTGGAGTGAAGAGCAGTTACCAGGAATTAGATTATAATGAGCCATTAAATCAATTGATCCCAGCAGCACTGCCTGAATAGAAAGGCCACTGCTGTTCCCAGGCAGTTGTTTTTAAGGTTTGAGTAGAGCAGGAATCAAAGGAGGATGTGACTGCACCCCCTACCCCCTTGATCCACCCCAGGTATGAGTCCAGAGTGGGGGATTTGACTGGGAATTGAAGGTCCAATGGAGAAATATGTGGGTGTGCCTATCAGTAATAGTAGCAAAAGTATTACCTCCATAAGAGGTAAGTTCTTGCGCATTGTGGTGGGTGATGCCTTTCTACCCATGCCGTCTTATACCTGGACTACTGAAAGAAGTTGTCTGCTGCGCTTAGTTAAGATTTCAAGGCATCATGCACTGATTTTTTTTTTTTTTTTTGCTGTTAGATGCTGTTACTTGGATCTTTAATACCCAGTGCGTTGATTAATAAAACATAAGCTGTAGCTTTTAGTCAGAATTGCATCAGATGAACTGATTTCAGTGCAACAGATAGCTCATCCCGTGCAAAATTATCTTCAGTTACCTCATGTGTGGTGAGCAATGCAAGCTGAGCGGGAAGTAGCCATGTATTAGTTAAAAGTGTGGGGTAGCTGGAATATTGCTGTACAATCTTGGACTTTTTAAGCAAAGTTCCAGTACAAAAAAATTGGGAGGTGACTGTTACATATTTATCTGTTGAAATATTCTTAGGTCAGTGCTGTAATGTGGCTTTTATAGTACGTGAAATCTACTGATCTTGGAAACAGCAAAGATGATAGCAGCTTCTTGTTTGTGGCCTTCATGTTTGTAAATGAGCAAGAACTGTGGGCTGATGAGATGAGAAAAAAACTTTGAAACTTTGCTTTGTGGATTTCCCTTGCTAACACTGTTTCTTTGCTCCGTGTTCTTTTAAGTTGGCTCCAAACCTTGCTTACAATAGTGAGATTTCCGGGGGGGGGGCTTGAAGATAGCTTAGGTCATTTTATGATCTAAAATGAATGGGGGGATTGTTCTGCAAAGGCTGCTGCATGTGAGTCACCCGTTGAAGGCCAAGACTATTCACATGTCAGGTGCTGGTACATGGGCTCCAAACATGTTAGTGTTGACAAGACGTCTAGCACTTGCATTGTACAAAATGGAACTATTGTTGGCTGATTTCCCCCCACCTGCTCCTAAACAAAGAGTCTGGCTTAATTCATTTTGACACACTGGAGATGCCCAACACCATTTGGAATTTCACACACAAGAAAGCTAGAAGGGGGAGACAACTATTTGGGGAAAGGGCCCCTTTTTTGGTGTTGCTTGAGAGAGAGTTCAACAGGAGTCACTGGACTTCTACTGTAAAAGCAGGAATATAATCTGAAGGTGGCATTCTCTCCTGCTGCCATGTCTGGCTTTTAATCCTTTTATGCTTAAGTTTTAGCTGGGAATCTGCAACCCACTGTGATGAGCACAGTACACTCATTAAAGGGAGAGTCCCTGTCATAAACAGCTTATAGTCTCATTACAGGATCCATCCAGTGAACAAAGCAGACAACAGGATGTGTAGGAAGGAGCAGAGCAAAGTAAAACAAGCTCCTCTTAGCATAACGAGCAGTAGCTGTTATTGATATTGGTACACTGCATTAGCCTGCTTCTCCATGTAGCTCATGTCAGGAAGTGGGAGCAGACTGTTTCCTTCTGTCCAAGGCCTGCTAATGAAATGCCATGTTAATGTATTGTAGACCACTGTAGTTACACTTGGCTTGTAAATGCAACCCTTGGGATAGTAGTGGATGTACTGGAGATGATGCAAAAGCAAATAACTGAAATTGCATAAGGGAGCTACTTTGGGGAAACAAGGTGAACTAATTGGAATGCCCCTTAAATGTTCCAGTAGCCTCTGAAGTCTTTGAGGATGACAACTGCAGCAGTTTTGTGTCTGAAGAAGATTCTGAAACCCAGTCAGTGTCCAGTTTCAGTTCTGGTCCAACAAGCCCCTGTGAGATACCCACTCAGTTTCCTCCAGCAACAAGGCCGGGAAGCCTGGATCTACCCAGTCCTGTATCCCTGTCTGAATTTGGGATGATGTTTCCTGTCCTTGGTCCTCGAAGTGAGTGCAGTGGGGCATCTTCCCCAGAGTGCGAGGTTGAACGAGGTAAGTAGAATTGGGTAAGCTGGGGGTCAGTTTGTTTGTTCAGTTTTGTAGCGGGGCAGAACGTGCTAAACCTTCTCAAGGATGTTGCATTCATTGGGGTTGGATGTGTTGTCTAGAATGCTTTGGAGATGGTACCTGAATTTTTTCCATCGTCTAGTATTACTAGTATTTTACATTATTAGTTATCCATCTCCAAATGGGATGTGCCTTATGCTTTCTTGTCCGACCCTCCCCATCAGTACAGAAGTGGTGCTAGAGGAGCAGTATTTGATCTGTCCTGCCTTATGTGTCTGACATTAAATTTATTCCAAGATAAGTACTAAGCTGTCTTTGTTTGTTTGTTTGAATTTTTTTTTTAAATCCCTGATATCTGGCTGGGTGAAAATCCTGCTTCTCAGAGCTCATAAAATAAGGTGTTGAAGACAACCACCTTTGAGTTGTTTAACAATCCCTAGCCAAGAAATTCAGATTGCAGGATTATTAAAACTCTTGTGTACTGCACCCGAGCTTGTTTTGGGATTCACCTAGTGAGGTAGTGCACAGGTTTTTGTGACCTGGGAGACCAGTTTTGGTTCATGTATATTTCCTTAAAACAATACTGCTCCTTTTGGGTTCTCGGATCCTTTGGTGAAAGAAGCAGAATTGGTGTCTAGATTGTGGTATTGACTCAAATTTGAACATTTTACTTCTGTCTTTGCAGGGGATAGGGCAGAAGGGGCTGAGACCAAGACGGGTGACAAGGCGAACAAAAATAGGAGCAGCAGCAGTCACTCCGCTGAGGGCCTGGCTTTGGATAACCGAATGACACAGCTCTCACTTCAGTGCATGAAAATCAAGGAGGGCTTAAGTGCAGGCAGAAAAGCCGCCCAGATTGGCTGAATTGTCCTCTTTCCATCCTGCTCTGGTTAATGGGCGTGTTGGTATTTATACATGAACTTCTCAATGTCCGAAGAAGTGTGCCAATAACTATTTAATATATGCCAAATCTTAAGTGTTTACTATAAAAATTTAAAACTGCACTAAAGGAGTGGAATTGATGTTGAGGGCTGAATTTTTTTCAGTGAAATCTTTGTAGGATGGACAGATTGTCATACGTATAGCTGTGCTCATATTTCACACAGCCTTTGTAAACTGTTTTGTAGCAGCCTGGCTGAAGCAATAACTGGTAATGTTCATGTGTAAACTCATGCCAATAGGGGTCTGAAATCCAAGCCAAATATTGGTGGTGAGGTTTGGCTTGTTTTGTAGAATGATGCTCTTTAGATACAGTGGATCCCTGAAATCTAAGTGGCGTCTCCTTTAAACACCTATATTTGTCTGTATTATAATGAACCTATAGGAACATTTTGTATACAGGGAAGCTGTTGCATGTGTGGGTCTAGCAGCCTTCACTCACTCTCCAGTGCTCCAGCAAGGAGAAAGTTAGTTGCCCTTAAGACTTGGTCAAAGAGGATAACAGAAACATGGTGATGTTCAGTAGCTACGTGCCCCTTCTACCTACCTGCTCTTTGTGCGGCTGCCTTCTAAGGGCAAATCCAGTGACAAAAAAAGTACAGGACTCTCTTTCTTGAGAACGTAAGTATAATTTATCAGCACTTTAAGTGTTATTACTGTAAAACAAGATTCAAGGGTGGGTGCATGTAGGACAGTCTTGTTAGATACCTACCAAATTTGAAGGGGGCTTGCCCTTAAGATGTGCATGAAGAAAAGGAATTGCCTGTGTGGCTTGACAGTGTTCTTAATTTTTCTGTAGGTTGTAATGTGTGAGGTTTTATGACTGTTTAAGGGACTTCAGATTTTTAGTATGGCCTAGAAAAATTCACTAAAAGTAGAAAGGGCGTGAGGCATGTTTTGGCAGCAGCTATTAGGCAGTAGTGTGTCTGGTAATTATGCTAATAAATAGTAGTAAAAATACTAGGACTTAAGCTTGGTGGCTAGACATTTCTGAGAGCACCATACTGTATCTGAAACGTCAGTTTATATTGTTAATTTGATGGGAATTAAGTATCTTCCAAGGTTTTCTATACCATGTTTTGCAGTCCTGGTGTATTTTGTCCCTGCCACCGCTTGTGTATCTATTCTCAAAGTAAATGTAAAATTCTTCACACTACAGTAAACATTTTGGTTTTCCATATTTTATTTTGACTTGTGCAAGATAACAGTGTCTAAAACAATTTCAACCATTATTATAAATCTAGTTCCACAGTAAACTAAGTGTATGAGGATGTTTACAAGTATTAGTCATATGTATACATATGTAGTCCAGATTCACACAAGGAAGTCAGTTTGGTCTCTCGCCATTCTAATGCCAAATGCCCTAGTCTTTAGTAAGGTAAAATGAAGCTTAATGTAAATTTAATTTTAGCACTGGTACTTGATTGGAATGCGTACCCAGGACACTTGAGACTTTTCAGGCAAGACCCTGGCACTGACTACTTTGCTATATCTGGACAATTATTTCATTGTGGCTTTCAACTAGACTTTCATTCACATCACCTTTGGCTTACAACTTGACAATTTTAAGTAAAAAAAAAAAACAAAAAACCAACAAAAAAAATCTGCCTTTAAAGGATTACTTAGTATGTAGTGGAGGGGGAGATATTGTATGTTGTCTGACACCTCTGCTTTGACAGAAACCTGGTTTCAGAAGATAGATTTAATGTTAGCATGCAGAAGTTGAACACAGAAGGTCACCTGGCACTTGCAAAAGGCTTAGCCCTTAGCTCATCATCAGCACATTCCAACTTCTGAGCTAACAATTTGAGGGAAGAATGGTTAGTTTTAACACGTGTCACTTGATGCTTGGCTACCTTACCTTCTAATTAAGTAAATCAGCCAAGGAATTACGTACTGACTACTTATTTTTGCAGAGCTGCCAACTCTTAATCACCCCTCTGCTTTTGACCTCTCAACATCAAATTCATCCTGGTACAAACTGGCACAAGGTAAATCCCTACCAAACAACCTGCATTATGGAAGGATTAATTATGTCCCACTGGAGCTAAGAAAAGACATTTTCTCTTTTATGCAATGCACTTGCTTACCTCCAACATCTCACTTGACTGGAACAAGAGTGTCATGGCCCAGGAAACTAGCAGCAGCTGTTCTTGAAAATGAGCTAACCTATCTGTAGGTTTGCAAGGGAGTAAACATTAGGGATGTGTGAAGCAGACTGTATTTAATTCAGATTTGGCCTGAGTTGGGGGACAGTGATTCGATTAGTTGATTCGGATCACTGTCCCAATTTGATTTGGCTGAATCCAAATCGGAAGATTTGATGCTGATTTGGAGAATCAGTGATTCAGCCACAGACACAGAAAAAACATTTAAAGCTACATACCCCAAGGTACCAGGTGCAGCTCATGAATGCTGAGATGGTGGGGTGGATGGAGCATCACACAGGAGTGTGGGGGTCCCTCTGCCTGCTCAGCAGCGGACCCGGAAGTGGACCGGAAGTACAGGCAGTCCTCAACTTGAAACGTTTCAAGTTACAGCATTTCTAAATTGACACCCTGTTTCAACTTTGTCTCTAGTTTTGACTTTACAACGCTTGATCCAACACCACGCTGTGCCAGTGAACGAGTTTATGTTGCTCATCTCCCTGGAGAACATCTGTCCAAACTTCCTTGGATGCTGCCTTTAAGAAAGCAGCCAAGACTCCTAAGAAGACTCCAGGCAAGAACCCTTCAAAAAGTCCAGCAAAGTCACCTCAAAGAAGTCCTTCCAAATCAATATGATTGCTATTTACAATATAACTACATTAATGTAGCTATATTACTTATCTATAAAATTGAGTACAAGATTCTGGGTTATTTTTGGTGAAAATAGGGTATTGGGCCTTGGTTCAGGAACCAATCCCCCATTTATAACATTGTTTCTTATGGGAAAATCGGTTCTAAGTTACGTTTCAACTAAAGATGCGGCTTTCAGAAACCAATTGTGTCATAAGTCCAAGGACTGCCTGTACTTCCACTCCACTTCCGTGTCCACTGCCTCCCTGGTATCCCCTCAGCTCAGTAATCGGCTGCAGGGGCACCCTGGGTGCCCCCCCAGACCCAGAAGGCACTAGTTGCCAAAACAGGGGTTCCCTGTGCGCTCTGCGCCAGACCTGAAAGTGGACCGGAAGTGCTCCTGGTCCACTTCCCCGTCTCAGCGTTCACAAGCTGCCTGGTACCTTGAGGTACATAGAAAAAAACATTTTAAAACTGTGTCTGTGTCCGAATCATTGAATCTCTCTGAATCGATTCAGAGGGTTCTGATTCGACTTGGAGAAATTAAAGGGTCTCCTGATTTGATTTGGAGATTCGGCTGCCAAATCGATCAGCAACTGAAGCTTCACACAGCCCTAATAAACATGCAGAAGGCTGCTTCTGTTGGGTACCTCAAGCATTCAGCAGCTGCATGTACACTAGAAGGGTGTATACAGAGCTCCCTAGTTTGCTTATTTTGGCTTTGATACTCAAAAAGACGCTTTAATAAAATGTCCAACTGTAAACATGGAATTTTATGAAAACTTTTATTTTAAACTCTTAAAAAGCTATGTCTGTGTATTATATACATAGATAAATGACAAATGTGTGTGAGCAGAATATTACTATGAAATACAGACAAGTAAGCAAGCTTTTTCCAGTTACATATATTTTCCCATTAGACTCCTCAATTCATCTTTGAATCTAGAATTACAGTAGATGGCCGTGTTGTTAAAAGTATAAAAATAAGCCTCTGATGTTTAAAATATGTATGAACACTTCAGCAGCCTTGGACTGAGATTGTACTACAGAGCAAAACACAGCAATATGAGGAGTGAATTCTAGCTTCACAGTATTTAAAGCTTTATTTTGAACATATATATTCAGAAGATACTCCTTGTGCTGTTTTTTTAATCCTAAGGATAGTGAAAATTTGTTTACTATGCCTCTATACAGGGCAGGTACTGAGAATGTTTCATTTCCAGTGGAGAATCCTCCTGGTATTACTGTTGGGTAAAATACCTATTCTATAATCGAAACACTTGGATGCAAAGTTGGATTGCAAACATTTTGCTGTGCCTAGGACACTACATTTTAATGAAATCTTTCAGGTTGACTGTCTTAGATGGGATGGAAATAGTGGATACTACTGTTGAAAGTAGGTATACAGAGAAGGGCCTTTTTAGAACACTGGTAGATTTACCCAGACAGTTTAAAAAACACAAATCACAGCTCTGGACCCCCAGGTGGCAAATATCTTCAGCAATGCTACAGTAGGATTCACTATAAAGAGTTAAGTAGAAAGTCTACAGTTCATGTATTTCAAGGGGAAGTGTAGGACGTGCCATTTTGTGTGTGTAAATATCCTCGAGGCCCACTATGTAGTCCAGCAAGCAGCAAGAGTAGCCATATGGAAATTTAATACTTTTCTTAGAAAAGTCCTAGACCAGCTAATGTACTTGTGGTCTTTGGTCTACACAAAATATCTAGCAATGGAAAGCTGAAATGACTAAATATGTGACAAGTGAAGTGCATACTTGTGAATATAACATGAATCTTTGTTATTTAGTATCTTAAACAAACTTGAGTTGCATTTGGTAACAAGTAAAACAAAAGTAAGAACTACAAATTCTATGATTCTATGAAATAGGAGGGGTGTGTGTACATGTGTGCGCATGTCTTATTAGAAGTAGAGCAGTATGTTTGTTGATCAGGTGTGACACCAATTGATTTGAGAAAACAGACTAACTACAGCAACTAGTTTTTGGACAGCTGCATAGCCTTTTAAGTCAGCTCCTATTTCTTGTGTAAAGGTGTTAAATTACACCATTGTAGGATTCTCTCAACTTCATAGTTTTAGCCCCAAAAATCAGCTACTCTCAGCTTTGTCATCTGGGGACTTTTCTGGGTGTCACTTAATGATAGCAACAGTCCACTAACCTTATCTGGTAAAATATCTTCAGAACAAGATCAAAATCCTTGCTCTGCAACAATTAGTTTTGTTAGATAAGAACAGCAGTTTTCCTTTTTAAATAAAATGTTTAAACGAAAGGAAACAATGCTTTGCACCAAAATGATTTAAGGTTTACAGAATCCAAAAGGTGGGCACCTACATTTGCATTTATTCCAACAGAAGGCTCTGCAAATCAAAGATTGTCAGTAAACAGGAAATAGCCAAGACATGCCTCAACTAACTGTAAAACTGTTCTCTATTGTCAGAAAATGACAGTGCAATATTTAGATCAGTGTTTCTCAACCTGTGGGTCATGACCCAAAAGTGGGTCGCAAACAAACTTTAAAAATGGGTTCTCCTTTAAAGAAGGAAGAATGTGGGAAACCGTGGCTTTTCCCTTGCAGGCTGGCAGAGTTCCAGCCTGCAAGGGGCTGCTTGTGGCCCCCCCATTCTCCCCTGCCCCACACCCTGGAGGGCTGGGGGCAGTGGGTCAGGAGTGAGGGGCACTGGGTGGGGACTGGCCATTTCTGTTTACAAATGGCTCCTGGTACAAAAAAGGTTGAGAACCACTGATTAGATGAAAAGATTTTCAAACTGAGCATACCTGGTCTCAAATGTTAATGGGGACTAGCTCTGTCACGTCACAACACTGTTAGTGGCAGTGATGAAAACTTACCCTTTCTCCTAACATCAGACAGGTGAGAGTCTTCTGTAATCTCTCTCATGTTTTACAATCTAAAGTAAATTCTGTGCTGTAGGGTAGTGAAATAAATTGACTTTGTAAGCTCTGAGTCAGTTCATCACCATAAAAACTACTGTGCTACCTTGGTGATGGGGCAGAGACAGAGGCTTCTTGTAGAGCAGACACCTATGAACAGGGGGGTATTCATTGATCTTAGTTAATGGACAGACTAACTCACTCTCTCTCTTTCCATAAATTGAAAGGATGGAGATTGACCACTCCACAGTAACTTCATCTGCTCTATTCCATGCTAAGTGAAAAAAAGGATAGAGGGCTAACTAATTTGGTTTAACTTCCACTTCCTACATTGCAGGTGACCCCATTTCACTTGGTATTCAACAGTCTGTCCTTGCCTTAAGGAAGTCCACTTGCTTGATTGGTCAGTCAGCTAAAAATCCTATCCTTTAAAGGGGTGGAGAAGTATTTAAATATGTAAATCCACAAGAGCAGTTGCACTGTTTAAACCACTCGTGCTACTGTTTGCCTGAAAAGCGAGCATTAGGTGTATACCATACCTACAGCCCTTTGCATATTATGGCTCACAACTCTTGGACTTAGCCTGACTTAACAATCTTACCCCGTAAAGCGCTCATTACACAAGGATATGTTAGATGTATGGCTTTACCCACAAGAGCAGGCTCCTTTCACCTATATCACAATCCCCACAGCCTAACTGCAGATATTAACAGCCCAACCTACATCTTCAAGCCTTTTGTTGTTTGCTGAACTGCAGCCAGAGTTCCTGTTAGATATCTGTTACAGCTTTCATGCAAAGATGATAAACAGGGAGTTACTGGCAGAGAGGCAGTGCGCTTTAACTCTGAGCCCAGATGGTCTTTCAGAGAACTGCAATTAAATAGCACATGTTCTACACATTTTTTTCCAAACTACTTTCTTCCTTTAGCAGCTGTTTAACCCAGGGAGATTAAACAAAAGCTATCTTGTGCTATTAAGCTGCTTGATAAATTTATTGTAGCCAACTTGAAGGAAAAGCACTGTATTAAAGTTGGCCTCTATAACAATGCACAGTATTCCAGTTAAATGCATGTGCTCAGTTACTTATGATCAGATGCAATTCCCTCCCTCCAAAAGTACAGTTCTACTTTTGTCTTGGAAAATTTCCCAGATGGAAACATTTCAGGACCATTTGAAGAAGACTGTCAAATGGCTTTTGAGTTACATGTCATCTTACAACTCCTGGGAACAGAAATGATAGACAATGGAAGGTTGCCTTGTTTAAGACTGAAATGATTTTAAATCTCTTCATGAAACTCTCTCAACTACTGCACTAGTTCTTTTTGGAATAATATATACCAAAATTGAGCTGGGGGAGGGGAGGTGATCTGAGCCACCCCGACTCCTTTCAGTAGGAGTTCTTACATTTACTTCAGGAGATTAAGGTCAAAGAATATGCAACTCTTCTCTTGACACTTACCATTTAAAAAAAATCCCCCAAAACAGGTGCTTAGGTGATCTTCCATGTGCCTTATTATGGAGGAGCTTCTTGCAATGCCTCCACTCAGCTCCAAAAAGCCCCGTTCATGGAGAAGCAGCATTTAAACTGCTCCTTTTTAGTGACAAAATCATGATTCTCAGTCATGAAGCTGACAATGTTACAGCTGCTTTTCTGCAAATGGAACTAGTAGTGTTATACTGCTTATAGATTAGGCCAAAAAAAATCTTCCCACAGTTTTAAATACTAGGCTGGAATAAAGGTCTTACAGTGCTGAAGAGGAAAAAGAAAATGTTCTTAGGGATGTGCCATCTTAATGTCATACATACTTAGGAATAAGAAGCTGATGAGTACAAAAGTGCCTGGAAGTGCAGTGAAGTGCTCTCTTAGATAGCAAAGGCTAGAATTCTCCCTATTTGCTTCCTCCAAATGAAGGCGTAGCCTGCTGGTGGCAGGCTACTATGAATTCAGTGTACACACTGATGCTCAAAAGCAGCAAATTCAGGTGCATTTTACCTGAGTGCAATTGATTTTCTTCCCTAAATACTTCTGAGCACTAGGCATGCAGGACAACAGCACTAATGCCTTTGAGTTATTCTTCTGAGGCTGAATAAGCATAGTACACAGGAACCCTTCCTTTTCCCTTAGTAAACCATTAAGAATTATGTCATAAGAAATAATATACCCTGTGTTTGGGAAGAAGAGGAAAGACTTCAATACTTGATTCTTCTCTCTCCACTACTTCATTAAGTTTCAATTTAAAACAAAAATGCAATAAACTAAGGTCTGCTGATTCATTTTCATACACAATCAAAAGCTCTATTTTCAACCATATTCACACATTCAATATACCTTCAGTCAAAATCTGAAGCATTTTTTCTTTGATGCCAGCACTACAAAAAGCCGTAAGTAAACTTCCTGTTTGCAGTTAAATAAAGCAGACTGCCCTGTGCCTTTGGCTAGGGCTTCTTCAGGTAGACTGCAGTTCCCTTTTATGCAAAGTATGTATAGGTTCTTCCTGTGTTCTCTGGATGTGGCATAGCTGTAAAATCTTGACTGTTTCCCTAGACAGCAGTGTAATGTGCCGTGTCACTGGAGCTGTGATACCTTAAGAGGGGAAATGCTATTAAAGTCCAAGAAGAAAGGACCTTCTTGTTGAGGCAGAAAGGTGCTTGGAACGATATTATAAACCCCAGGAGGTACATTTTCCACTTCTAAGTAGCAAAAGCCGCACCTATAATGAAAGAAAGTCCAAGTTTAATCGCATGTGCTTGTTGAAAGGAAAGAATACTGCATTTAAATCAAGTGAGGTATTACCTGTAGTCGCCACTGTTCTTTTTCTGAAAGCTAGAGGGACCAGGATCTCCTACTGTAGAGACTGTGATAAGTTCAAACCCAACGCTGTATTGTCTACAAATAAAGTGAGAGACCATATATATCATTGCCAACTCAAAGAAAGGGGACACTAATACTGTTAGGTTGAGGAGTCGTGCATCAAATAAGCTGTGACCCGATTAGAAAACACCTGTAAACTAGATCACAACAATTTCTGCTAGTCAGTCCCACTAATATCACCAATAACTTTTTCAGAGGCTTACCAAGACATGAATTTAGCTGCAAAAATGTGTGACAAGATTTCAATCCCAGCACCATAATGTGTGGGAGCTGCCTACTAGACAGTACAAGTTCAGAAGCGTGAGTGGTAAAGCCTGTGGTTACCTACCTCAGTACCTGTGCTGAATGGCAGAGACAGAAGTCCAAATTTACCTGACCAGTAAGGTCTCTCAAGTTATGTCAGGGTAACTGAGGACAACTTGGCTTCGCAAAGCATAAGGGGGGTGACATGTACCACAGCCCTGTGACTTACTTGGAATCAAGTCCTCCCCAAATCAGGAAGTGTTCAATGTATTGCTTCTGCAGCAACTGCTAAGTAACCTGGTCTTTTCCATAAAACAATCTCCACAATTCCTAATGTCTGGACAGCAGCAAGATTTGTTCACAGTGCTCCCAGGGGGCAAGTGCTTCCACTTAACATGGCTTCTCACAGCTTTGTGAAAAGGAACATATAGCTGTTGGCCTGCTGCTCAGTAACCCTCTACCCTCAGCCAGGAACTTTACTGAGGAAGTGTAAAAGTGATCTATGCAGGGGGTTTGCTGCTCATTACTGAGCAAATTCTCTCCCACCGACTGGGAACAAACTTTCAGATAAGCTGTGACTTAAAACAGAGGCCTTTTTATATGCCATTTCAGCTCCAGTCTTTAGAGCCTTAGTGGTTACATTTTAACTTAATTATATTTTACCTTAATTCCGACTTCAATCCTACAACCTATTCTATGAGCCCTTAAGGACTGTTAAGCAGCACCACTTGTGTAAAACAGCTGCCCCAGTTCACCCCAGTGATGGCTATATTTCCACTATAGACTTATTTGAATATTGCCTGTACTCTGGGAATGTTCGGGATGAAAGATGGTCTGTAGCTGGCACTGATACATCTGCCTCTATAGCTCAGTGGTTCTCAAACTTTTTAGACTCAAGGCTCCCCATACCTTCCTGGTCTCACAGCACCCCTCAGAAAATGCCAACTTTTAGCTTCCACACTTTTTTTTACTATGCAAAAATAGTAAGAGTCATTCTTCTGTTGCAAAGAACTCAAAAGGAGGCTAGACAATCACCCAGCTGGGGTTGTTTGACCCCAGCATCCTTTCCTACCCATGGCAGGGGGTTGGACTTGATGATCTGCTTAGGTCCCTTCCGACCCTACCAACTATGAAACAAAGACCACAACAGGGCTTAGAAAGTTTTTGTCTCTATGGATTTCTACTTGAAATCTCTTGCTCTTTTTTTGTGAAGCAGGTATAGGTATTTGCACCCTTAACAATGAGACCCTGGCTGGGAATCACTGGTCTAGCCCAATTGAGAGCACAGCTGCACTCAGGCAGGTGCAGCTGTGTAATGGTAAGAGCATTGCACTATCCATACGCAAGCAGCAGGGTGGCTCATATGCTGCTACAGTTTCAGAGACCAGGGATAAGGCAAGCTGGCTCCACTTCACAGGTGAAGGAGACACGGTTCTAGGAGGGGAGGAGGGCTCCTTGCATTTTTCCTGCTGTTCACGACCCAATAGGGGTCTGACTTTGATATAATGAACTATAGAAAAAAGGGTTTCTACTTATTCTTTCCACCTATCAGAGAGGATCTTCTGATATTGAAACCAAGATGCCTACTTAACCTGTTAAAGTGAACCTGAAACATTTCCATCAGAAATAATCCCCTCCTTTTCTTGATCTTTTTTCCAAGCAGCTTCCCATCTCCCCAGAGGACATGTAACAAAGCTCTCTGTTAGGCCAGGTCCTATTCCATCTACTAAGTATCTGAGGGCACATACAGCTGTACTGCTAAGCAAAGAATATTCATCTAAGCCATTAGGATGCAGCTGTTAGGTCTGCCTGACTCTACAGCAATAAAACTGTAACGAAATCACAGCAACCTTAACCTTGCTCATTCAGGGTCAAAATAGGGTTTAGTTAAAACTTGTATCAGTACTGGGTCACACAGATCTAACAGGTGACATACTCTAAAGTGGCAGCTCCTGCTTCCCCTCCTGTTTTAAAAAGGAGCTAAAAAGTGTATTTGTCCATATGTTTAGGGGTATGTAGGCATTTAAGTGCAACTCTATTCCACCCTGCTCCAGTACTCACAAGTTTTCTGTAGCATTCACAGGATCATACTTAGAGACTATTTCTGTACAGTGAATCCTACTTTGACTTTTTAAATGTGATCCTTTGTTTATTTAGATCAAAGTCTTGTGACCCTTATTTATTTTTCACAAACCTTGGTCCTCTTAGTTCAATTAGTAATGGCCCAGTCTTCTCCAGCTGGAACTGATAAATGGGGTTGTTTTTATAGGAATCTCTGAAATTCCCACATCCTCCAGCACTATGACCTTTCCACTGCCCATTAACCTATAGCAAACAAAACACAAAGCCATAGTATAATTAGACAGTTTTGGGTTTGTTTGTTTTGGGGGGGGAGGGGCGGAGTAAAAATATTAGCAAAAATGAGGTCCTGGATTTCCCTCTTTGGTGTGAAAAGCTGCTTCTCTACTGATCTCAGTTTCTCTTGATTTACTCCAACATGGGTCAGAATTTTTTCTGTAGTATTCAGAGGAGCACATTTAGAGACTATTTCTGTGTAGAGGCTCCCACTGACTTTTTAATGTGACCCTCTGCTAATTTAGATCAAAGCTAAGGGACCCTTATTTGTATTAATAATTCAGTGACCATCTTTTCCCTTCGATTGTATTATGGAGCTAATACTAGATAATTTGCTGTCTGGATCTTCAGTTTGATATTTGATAAAGGAGGAGCCACAGTTTAGCCCATTAATCATACTACAGTACTTACTGTGGTGGAATGCAGAGAATAAAACAATACCATCTTAGTATTTTTGCCTTTTAAAAAGGCCTCCTCCCTTCCACCCTCAAACATAATATTAAATGTCATCTTGTATTCACAATAACCAAGGATCAGCAATCCAGGCACACCATGCACACACCCCCAGGGCACAGGGGAAATGGGAGAAAGGGAGGATGGAGTGGAGTATGAAGATGCTACTGCATTTCAAGAGGACAAACACCAGCAGTAGAAGTGTTGCTCAGATCTCAAGGAAAACAGAGCATCTGTTGGAGCATTCCTCCCGCTGGTCATTAAGAGAGAGGTTATCCTCTCAAGATTTGCCAAATCACTCTCACCAGCTTAGTGCTGAGACTCGACTGTTTAAAACTAGTTATAAGCAGCTGCTTTTTCTTGCAATTACAGCATTTTGTTAATTGAAAATTAAATACATGACAAATTTTTAAAAAATGCATCTTTGCTTCATACTAATTGGAGAATATTGATCTCCTATAGTTGCTAAAGAAAGACATTCCTATCACATATGTTAGCAGGAATCTTAACTTATCAATGGATAGTATCTAGTGAACCCTAAGGATGTCTGTTAGGTCAGGTTTAGAGCTGATTTAACCAAATGAAGCACTGATTTAAGTCTAAGAGATGGTTAGGCCTAAGCTATTAAAAACATTCCACAATATAGAAACAGTAGAATGAAGAGCTTCTAAGTTCTTCAGACTGTCATCTAGTTAGGAGTCATTATCTATCATTTAATGTTAAATGTGGGCTGTTAATCCTAAATACCAGATAGGAAAAGAATCTGAGCTTACATGGCATGGTTTGTTTTTTTTTGGATCTCGAGTATCTAGATAATATTTGGTTCTTAATGCTGTGTAATAGCAAAGTCTACCTCCATAAAGCTAGCAGTCCTTTATTACTGGTACTGTTGGTCTCCAGAGATGAGGAATAAAGGAACTCCCTCTTGCTGGGCTCTTATAAGCTAGTTCTGTCACAAAACAGTTCTGATCACTGCAGGGCATTTAAAACAGAGCATCACAATAAGTGGCATAAAGGATTTTTCATTGTAGCTGTAACAGTAAAATGCCATAATGCAGATGCAGCTTATAGTGGCAAAAGGAGTAGTCTCATTTGGGAAAAAGCACCTCCCCAGATGACATAAGCTACACCAACAAAGGACTTTTTGCAGATGTGGTTGTCTGGTAGTGGGGAAACTTGTAGTGCAGTCCTGGTTTAACTGAAGTATAGGATGCACAATACATTCCTGTTAAATCTAGGTGAAATTAGTGGTTGTCAAAAGAATTCTTGCAGGAAGAATACAAACATTTATGAAAAGCACAAGCAGAAGTGTCCTTTCCCAGTATCTAGAATTTGGCAGGACCACAGACTATTACTCAATGAAATATACAGGGAAAAAAAATCTATTTTCTTACCCTTTTGGAGGTGGTGTAGGGTGTAGGGATCTTGGAAAAGGTGAACTTGCATACTGAATACACCTACATAGTAAAAAGAAGAATTCAGTCATGTGAATCACCTACGCACTTGTATGAAATTATGACCTAAAGGCACTGCAAGAGGATATAAGTATGTTTCAGCTTTGGAGATCTGAATTTCCCTTCCATCTCCAATCAGGTAAAAACTGGCTAAGTGACACTATTGGTGTTATAGAGGTGGTATTATAGAAAGTCACAGGCATCTATATCCACAGGAATCCTTCCAAAGTGTCTACGTGTCTCACCCCTTCCAACCATCAGCTCAATGACTCCGTTGCAACTAGCTCAGAAGCCCCACAATTAATCAGAGCCAGTGCTGACCTCATACCCTGAGGTTAACTGTGGCAAACATTTCAATTCAGAAGGGGGGGGGGGAAGGAGAGAAAACAGTACCCTACAGCATGTAGCTGTATATACGCAGGAAAGACACAGCCAAGGTGTGCAGTTAGTGCATGCACATAGGTAACATTCTTTGTAAAGGGCTAGAGAACCAATTATGGCTCAAGCCATAGGCCGAGTATCCTTTTATTAAGCCCATGTCCCTTCCACAAGATGGTAAACATGGTGCTTTTGAGATGTTTCCTGGCAGCCACTACCCATTCTAGCAGTCCCTGCTCCTCTAATGCTACTTCTGTCTTGTTTTGCCATGCTCCGACTAGCTACTCAAGTGTGGTCAGCATGCAAAGTTACACACCAAGCAGTGCAAGTAAAATACAGACAGGAAAGGGCTGGTCCCAGTGAGAAGAACCAATGCTTAAGAGTCCAGAAAGGGGCACTGAGAACAGCAGTTAACACTCCTTGAAGAGTTTTAACATTCAGAATTGCTGTCCATGTCATCACCTTTGCACTGGGTTGGTAAAGGGGCTCCAACCATGATTCTCTACAGCCTCCCTTTTCTCCTCCCAGCATGTCTTTTGGTGGGGAACAAGGTTAGTATTTAAACAGGAAGCAGTTCTGTTCACTCTAAAACATGCCCTATTTATACAGTACTTTTAAATGTTTCTCGTTTTTAACTATTTGTGAGCAGTCATGGGATATTAAAAGAATAAAGGGACCAGCAAAAGAAACTAAACTAGAACAGTGGGTTTTCATTTCAGCAGTGCTTCTCAAACTAGTCTGCACTTAAGCACGAAACCTAGGGCTGGATTGGGACAAATGCGACTGAAATGCAACCAATTCTATGGAATGATTTTAGTGTCAGTGTAGGGGCAGTTTGTATGAGCTGTGTTTTACTACTTTCAGTAGCAAAGGAAACATTTAACGCATTGGCATGGCATCTGTCAGTTAGAGAATGACCTTTAATTTTCACCGTGAACAAAGAGTTGGAGAAGCAGCGAGAAAATATTTTAAGCCATTTCAATTAAAATCCAAGGCGGGTGAAAGCTGGGTCATGTTTTGGCCTTTACTTATAAGAAATAAAAATACTTTTACCTTTTCAACCTAGTCCCTAGTGGATACTACTTCAGAAAATCCCATAAAACTGTGATACAGGAAGGCCATGGACTGAAATATTATGCAACTAAACTCAGTGACATTATGTTGTCCTACAGAAACAGAACCAGAAAGCCCTTACCTACATAATGTCTGCGTTCTTCCAGTGCTTCAAGTCTATCATTCACACCTTCCCCAAAATAAATACATTTATCCAAAAATACTTGCTATAAAACAGCTTCAAATAATTATTTCAAGGAACAGATATTTTACAAAGCCCTGCCAGTCATGCAGTCTCCCCCATATGTTTTTACAGTGAATGTAAATTTATTATAATATGTTTGCATGCTGTCTTTAATACATACCCTGAGAGTATAGTGGATTGTGTTCTGTTTCTCATACTGTGACACCACCAAGGTAAATGTGTGGGATCCTGGAGAGGTCAGCTTTATCTTTGTTAGATAGTGGGGGCTGTTTATCCGAATCCCATCAATATATGGAGATGGGTCAGCTGGGGGTGGAAAAAGTCCATATTACCACATCACCAAAAACCCCCAGGGTTGTTGACAATCATCAGCCATTTTGCACCAGTGTACTTTCTGCTGAGCAGTTAGATTACCGACACCAAACAGACAACAACCAGACTACACTACAATTATCCAGGCACACTATTTTAAACACAACAGCATCTTTAGCTTTCTTTTGAATGTGTTTTGGAGTCTTTTCAGTGAAAGCCTAATTAGCTTTCAGGAAACTGGGCACAATATTGTACCTTCTTGGTGAATCAAGAATGACTTTTCCCAGGGTGTGCTGAGAAATACAACTTCAATCCTGCATCAAGGGTCCAATCCAAGTTCCAATGAATTCAAAGGGAGTCATCAGGTACGACACCTCTATTTTAATGGGCTCCTATAGAGATTTTATGTAGGCCCATTAAAAAAAAATATTTAAGGAGAAAGTCCTTCCTAAGAGAATTCTCTTACAGACATGCCCTTTAGGGCGTGGCAAAGGCAGTCCAGGAATCCATGTCTAGGATGTAGGCTTTAAAAAGAACCAAAAACAAACCTATTATGGATGCTTCTAAAAATGAAGTTTTACAACATTGTTTTCTCCTTTTTGTATTGTTCCCCCTCAAATAATGCATTCGCTTTTAGCACAGACTGACAGCTCTACAGTTATGGACGGGATTCCAGTGACTACCTGTATAAGAGATCCATCTGAATGACTGCATCACTATGCAATTTATTTAACATACACTGACATACACTGACAGCGCTTAAGAACATGTCAGGAAAGCTCAGACTCTTATTGGCACCTTGGTTTTTCTTCAGGCTTATTTCTGCTCCACTAAAATCTAGAGGATCTAGCTGCTGGCTTTAAGTAGGCATAGGAGAAGGCTTTATTTTTTTTTTCATGGACTAGGTCTCTCTTAAATGCCTGGAGGTGGGTGGGGGTGTAGAGGAGGGAGGGTAACAAACTGAAGCTTAGGCTTGGGAAATCCTGGTCTCTGTGCCAAACATTTAAATTGCATTGCCCTGGTTTCATCTGAACAGATGTGGAAAAAATAATATTGCAGCTCTACAAATCTGTTGCAATACTTTAAGACAATCTGCATCTGTGAGAGGGGTTAAAAGAAGCAAAAAATAAATTAGGACATAGGATAAAACAAGACCTAGGCAGATATTATGTTCAAGTTAAAAGATCTACCTGTGGGTAGAAACCCCTTGTAGAAGATCTTTCAGGCACAGATGAAATAATCCCTCTACTGTACCAAGACTGACTTTACCCACTTGGGAGGTCACTTTTTAGTCAAAAGGTCACATAAGTGCTACTGCTAATACTAGTCGTCAGAGACACGACTGATGTACCAAGAAAGAACAAAATACTTATAATGAAACTCTCTCTTTGGAAATACAGATGACGATCTGCCTAGATCCCAAAGGACCTTCACTGCAGAAACAGCCTGGAATCTAAAGCAGCTTCTTGGCATGGTTCACTGAACATGATGGGATCTGCCCTTTCTGACAGTTGCCACAAAACAAAAACCTCTCAATGGGCCAGTGTAATTGGCAAGAGCAATCTACACATGAGAACATGACTGACAATTAAAGCCCCAGATTCAGAAGGGGATTTAGGCAGCTTAATGCTTTTTGGCCAGAATTTGAACCTTTCCCCTCCTGTGTGGGTCCTATGTAAAATGCTTAGCAAAGCCCTTCTATAAATGAGTGCGTGCCCGTCTCCTCCTGTGCCTGGTTCCAATGACAGTGCAGTATTACCATAAAAATCAAGCACGGTTAACTCCTGATGGGGAGTTTTGGACACTGAAAGGAAGAAAGGCTCTTCTTAAGCTCAGCAGCTTCTGGGAACAGGGCAAGTCTTCTGAAAATCAGAATGGTCAGCAAGTCTGAGCTATTCTAGGAAAAGACAAAACAATGGCACAGACATCCATCCCAGAGACTTTGCATGTTGGTCAAAAGCAAAGTCACTATGTCAAAATTGGAAACCCCTCCCCCTCCCACGAATGACTCTGAACATGATTTCTTTTCCATCTTAATTAAATCGCAAGCATACTTTTCTTGGCAGCTGTTGTACCCATACCTGGGTAGTAAACTTTTTTCCCATCAGTTTTGTACACCACCAGGGTGATGAACTCTCGGTTGTGAGCGAAGTCATCCTATAAAGAGATGATTATGGTGAGTTGCACACTGATCCAGACTGCTATGAAGGCACTGAAAAAACGAAAATTTGCATTACTGCATTTGTTTTAGCACATGGCTTGATCTGGGATTTGTATCCACCAAGGTGCTTAAGGTAGCACCAAGACTGCTCCCACTAAAGACTAAAAAAGTTTCAGTTAACTTCACTGAGAACCCATCAGTCCGCTAGAGTCTAACATGTCGACCAAAAGTTTTTGAACTGTGAATAAAACTAGACAAACAGCATATATTTTAACACAATATTACTCATATCCTATATCTGGACCAAACGAGAGAGTTACACTATATACATTTATGTATTCAATGCAGATAAGTCACTTTTTTAGTTCTCTACACTTGAAGAAAACACAAAAGTAACATTTATTACAATGCAGAGAAGTAGACAGCCTTGTATCCAGCTCTATGCACATGCTCAATTACAACAAACAATACAGGAAAGAAACCCCAGTATTGGTTTAGTCAGAATAGATCTTAATACCTTGTCTGTAATGTGTCTGCTAAGCAGGATCCAGACTGCAGCTCCACCTTGTGGACACTGTACCTCCAGTTTGTATTGCGGATTATTAGCCAGGCTGTAGGCATCTTTCACTGGACCTTGCTTTGCATCCCAAGTGCTAATAAATACCAATAATTTGATTAATAAAGATGCTAATTCATATTTCTAAACCTACCTGCAAATCCTATAAGATAAACTGAGCAAACTGCAATGGATAATTGCTGTAGTTGTGGTACTAGCTGCAAAAGTAGGGCTATGTAATAAATGCCTTCCCTGGTTGGTATTTGATGCAGCAAAGCCATCAGTAAAGCTATATCAGGAAGAGAGCAGTGGTTTGGCTTAGCAGATAAGAGCACAGACAACACAAAGGACAAGATAAAACCCACTTTTGGACACACACAGAAGGTGGCAAATAATTGCCACGTAGGATGTCAGTACTGACATTCAGAAGGGAACCTGTGTCTTCTAGAGCAGCGGTTTTCATCTTTTTTTTTTTCCATTTGTGGACCCCTACAACATTCTGAATGGAGGTGTGGATCCCTTTGAATTTTAAGTGTGGGTATTCACGTGCTTTTGATTGATCAGTCATCTTTTGCGGACCCCTCAGAGTCTGCATACCCTCAGAGGTCCATGGACTACAGGCTTAAAACCACTGTTCCAGAATCTGTAACCCAGCTATTATACAATAGCTAGTTTGGGGGAAAAAAATGGTCACTTCACTTTTTTATTCAGAACATTTCATAAAACATTCACTAGTTGTTCCAACTAGTTGCAGCAGCCTGGATCATCGTTTCAAACCATCATGCTTTGCTTAAAAGAGGATGTTACAGGTGGAAGAAAAACAGAAAGAACTGAAACTCCTTTAAACAGCCTAACAAACAGAAGAGACAGAGACATAGGCCTTTGTTGTCTATGATGGTTTCTTTAATTCTTATTCAAAACTGTTAATGTTGCATTAATTAGCAGGTCCCAATTATTCCTGTTACATATTTGTTTGTAAGCAGCCATGTGCATGATGTATTTTCCAAGGAGGCAAGAAGCAGTCTCTGACAACCTAGGTTCAGACGGGGGCTCTGGGAAACCAGAAACAATTTTTGTCTTTTCTTTCCCCACTTAATATACACATTAATTGGTCTTCCTGTAGGCAGTGTGGCAGAACTGGACTATTTCAAGCTGGTTTAAAGTTGGAGAAGGCAGCAACTTTTGCAGATGAGTTCCTGAAGCCTAGTGTGTGTACAAAGGAAGGGAGTGAAGAGTCTCTGGTAAGCTGGCAGACAGGCAAACAAGGGTGGTGAACTCTCACTGACTGGCAACATGGGGAAGATGACACAAGGCAAGACCAGCTCAGAGAAATAGGAAAAAAGTTACAGTTTTCAGGAGGGAGACAAGAAGCCTGAATGTGACAAGACCATGCCAGGGAGCCAGCAAAGGGATTTAAAAGGAATGCATCGGCATCTTCCCAGGGGAGTGGGGAGCACTTTGCTGAAAAGTTGTTCACCTAGGTCCTGGTGTCTCCCTTGACATATTTGTAGGCGGCTATCAAGTCACCTCTCAGCCTTCTTTTGCTCAGGCTGAACAAATCCAGATCCCAAAGTCTCTCCTCATAGGGCCTGTCCCCCAGATCCTTGATCATGCGAGTGGCTCTTCTCTGCACCTTTTTGAGCTTGTCTACATCCTTCTTGAAATGTGGTGCCTAGAATTGGACCCAGTACTCCAGCTGTGGCCTCACCAACGCTGAATAGAGGGGGAAAAGCACCTTTTTGGATCTGTTGGCAACACATCTGCTGATGCACGCCAGACTTCTATTTGTTCTGTTCGCGACTTCATCACACTGGTGGCTCATATTCATCTTCTGGTCGATTGTCACTCCTCAGTCTCTTTCAGATGCAGTGCCAGCCAGTGGACCACCACCCATCGTATAGATATGGTGAGGGTTCTTCCTACCCAAATGAAGGACCCGGCATTCGTCTCTGTTGAACCTTACATGGTTTTGTTCAGTCCATAGAACCAGCCTGCCAAGGTCTTCCTGAATCCTTGACCTGTCCTCCGATGTACGCTTACCCCACAGCTTGGTATCATCCGCAAACTTAATTGCAATTTTTACTCCCTCATCCAGGTCATTAATAAAGATGTTAAAGAGAACGGGCCTGAGCACTGACCCCTGGGGTACACCACCAGAGATGGCCTTTCAGGATGAGGCCACCCCATCAATTACAACTCATTGGGATCAGCCGCTGAGCCACTTCCCAACCCACCTCAGTGTAGCCTGGTCTAGGCCAGAACTCTCCAATTTAACTGAGATGATTTAATGGGAAACAGTATCAAAGACCTTGCTGAAATCTAGGTAGATGACGTCCACCTCCTGTCCCATGTCCAGGTGTTAGTCATAAAGGGACACCTGGTTTGTTAGGCATGACCTCCCCTCTACAAAGCCATGCTGGTTGCTTTTCAGTACCCTACCAGATGCGAGCTTGTGGTTGATGGCCTCCTTGACAGTTTTTTCAAAGACCTTCCCCAGGACCGAAGTCAGACTGACCGGTCTATAGTTGGCAGGGTCATCCCTCTTTTCCTTCTTAAAGATGGGAATCACGTTCGCCTTTTTCCAGTAGTGGGGGACAAACTCCTGAGTTCCACGTCTCCTCGAACAACCTCGCCAGAGGCACAGCTATGAGCTTGGCAAGCTCTTTCAGCACTCTTGGGTGAAGGTCGCTGGACCAGGAGACTTGAAAACATCCAAATGATCTAACAGTGTCATCACCTGTTTTGGACTGATTTTATGAGGACTGCTGTCATTGCTGTATTCCCTGCGCCCCTGACTTGGTGACCAGTTCCCACCTGATTTCAGGAAAACTGATGTGACATAATTATTAAGGAGCGCTGCCTTTTCACAAGGGTCAACTGTGGGCTTCCCTGCCGTGTTCAGTAGGGGTGCCACAGTAGAGCTTGATTTTTTCTTGCTCCCTATGTCCCTATAGGTAAAAATTCTACTATTCATGTGCCCTCACAAGGGTTATGATTAACCCTGCAACATCTCTAAACAGAGTACCTCCTCTGAGGTCAGAGGAGGGGCACAGGATTTTCAAACATAATCCAGACTATAGCTGTTAAATGGGGTCATTCTGCCTTTCCGTTCAGAACCTGACTATATCTAATGCTCACATCCCAGGGACTGAGAGGAGTACAGAAAGGAGGGAAGCATCACATCAACATTATTGTTTTAAGCATCAGTGTAACATGCACTAAAAACCAAACTCATTCAAATGTTGGGAGTTTAACATCAAAAGTTTCTGTGGACCAACCTGTGAATACATGTGGATTCTTTAAAAAGACTTGGGTTCCAACTCAAATAAATAACATCATAATACTGGCAGAGATCCTCCCAGGCAATCCAGAATATCCCTATAAAGAAAACATTTTTCACTGTTTGTTTTAAAATAATACCTTGGTTTTATTCATCTTGCATGACCCTCATTCCAAAGACTGTGGGATCTGTATAAAACCTAAATTCCTTGCAAGTCTTAATATAGATGTTTTCCCTCTTGTCAAAGTAACCTCCAGAAGAGGCTTGAATGGTAAACTGGAGCAGTACTAAGACCTAGCCACATGGTTACTGTATGTGCCTATCAGCAAGGCTGCTGGTTTTCCTTGGCCATTAAGATATTGTCCATTCTGGAGCACTGAGCTGAAGCATGAGAATCCCCATCACCTCTGAAGAAATGAGTATATTAATGACTTCTGAGCTGCCCTCCGCTATTGGTTTCCCTCTGTTTGACCATTCCAGTTCCCCATTTTCTACCTATTCAACCAAAAGTCCATTAGAACTAGAAATCCAGGACATGTCACTCATGTGCTGCTGGGCTAGTTTGTGTAAACTGCAGCAGAAGTCCTGGGATTTGGCTGCTGGAAACAGAGGCAGAGGCTGCTGCCACCCACAGTGCCTGGCCCAGCTCCTCCTAAGCAGAGACTGGAAGGTGGGTGGGGGCAGGCTGGGCTGGGCACTGCTCCTCAGGTCTGGGGTGGGGTAAGCCAGGGCTAGGGAACCTGCACAGGGAGCCAAGATGGCCGCTGTTGAGGCCTGGGCTATACGTGGTGAGGGAGGAGGGACTACTCCCTGCCGGGTCCAGCTTCTGCCCATCCCTGGCCTCTGTGTTGTCCCAGTCTGCCCTCAGGGCTCCTAGGAGCCATGGGGTCAGGGTGTGTGCATGCGTATGCAGTGGCGCCCCCTGTCTCAGATTCCCTTACTCTGTCCCAGATTTCCTTAACCATAATCTGGTCGCCCTAATTAGAAGGGACTGCCACTTATCCAGAACACAATTCCCCCCCACCCAATAGGAAAGTCCATCAGCATGGCAATATTTGAAACCTCTCCCTGACATTCTATTCACTCAACATCCATTTGGCTTCTCTTTAGTACACCGGCATTTGCTTTATTATAATATTCATGCGCAATTAGTAGGTTCTCCCACATCACCCAACTGCATCCATCGTTGACAGAAATAGAAACAAAATGACCTTAAATTCTCTATATGCTAACAGTACCCACACAAGATCCTAATACTGAAGAAGATGACTATGCACATTTGCTGGTGAGACTGGTTAGATACAAATCCAATCAGAAAAAAATTACGCCCTTTAAATTAACTCAGCTTCAGAGCCTACAGATTTAAGCTGATGGACTGTCAGGCAATAATTCACCAGTAACTGATCAATTTGCTATGTTTCCTGAAAAATCAAAGCCAGACAGCCAGAATAGTGGTATTCTGCAAAAAAGTCAATGCTTTTTCTACCTGGCTCATTATACCATATACCAGCTATATATACTTGGTACCATGGTATTCAGAGCCGGTGTGTCTACCTTTTTGCTAAAAAAGACATGATAGACAAAGCTGAACAGAAGGGGATGCAAATGAGGATACAGAAGAAAAGCTGTATTGTTTCTAAAGCTGAACAGTGACTGGGACATTCAGGTACTGGCAACAATTCTGCTCCATCACAAGCAAGACCCCTGCTGATTTCCCAGGCACAAAACACACTATCTCCCTACGGAAGGTGTGCTCCAAGACAGCACCTGGCATTGCTCAAAACTATTTGTCTAGGGAATTACGTAGTACTACTATTGGCATGTCAAAGAAAAATCCTGACCACTTCTAGTTCTCCAGGCAGCAACAGCCTGCAACCAAGGATTTGTTAAAGCATAGCATAAAGGAGAAAATACTGAAAGCAAACTTGCAAGCCTCAAACCTCTTCATGGAAAGGAAATGAAAACCTGTTGCTTATATGTCATATATGGATACCTAACCATGAATACTAGGGAAAAATCTGATTAAGTACATAAGACCCATCTGTGTACTAGTGAACAATATTTCCTCTCAATATGTATTAAATGCTAAGGCCAGCAAATATACAAGGTTAGTGTAGCAGGGCACTAGGGTGCCTGCTACTAGAAGTGCTGGGATAACCCTTCAGGTGCCAGTTGCTGAGGCAACCAAAGGGAGCTAATGGCTTACACCTGCCTAGCCAGCTGAAGAAAGGGGCAGGGCCTGGCCCCTATATAAAGCACAGGCAGGAGGCCAGAGGCAAGGCCCCCAACCAGCAGCTAAGGAGGAAGGAGCTCCTTGCCAGAAGGGAGGAAAAACCTGAAGGCCAGAGCAGCATTGGTCACCGCGGTAGGAGAGAAAACCCAGCAGGCCTGAGCATTGTTATAGCCAGGTGGCTTATGTTTACATTATAGCGAAGAGGCTTGTGTTTAGGATGTTGTTAGTATTTGCTATTGATTACACCGGTGGTTTGGGTGAGGCTATAAGGGGATGGAGGAGGCCTCATAGGGGACTCACGGTAGGGTGAGGACCCCAGCCCGTGAGAGGGCCGCATTGCAGAGAAGGGCCCTGTAAGAGATGGGGCCATGGAGGGCCCAAGCACCAGAGCGGTGTAGGCCCAGACAGTGTTATACACGCATAGCCCACAAGGCTTGGGGACACAGAACACCCGAAGCAGGAGAACTGTAGCCAAGCAAAAGAAAGGTAGCCTCCCTATAAAGAACTCATATACAATCAAAGTTGTGGCGGGTGAGAATAGGAGGGTGCAAGTCCGAAGCTTGGCACAATAAAGGAGGTGACAGGAGAGAGCACAGCGACCCTGACATCGCTCCTGCCACAGTTAAAAACAGAGCAAAAGCTATCATTGACTAGATTTCAGGTAGGCTGCACAGAGTGATTAGTTAATTCTGTAGTGGGCTAAAATAATCAAATACTTCCATCCCTTTGTCATTTAGATGGTTTAGTATCTCATTTCCTTCTTTCGCTATAGTTTCTCTCTCTCCCCTTGCTATGTGAACAGCCAAGAAAAAAAACCAACAAGGAAATGCAAAAAAACTCACCACACCCTCCAAGCTCTCAACTGCCTAAAACAAACACTGGAAAAAATTCTGTAGTCTCTTGCAGTCATAACTTATTTTAATATTCTAACCAGCACTAGCTAAGAAACAAACAGAATTTTGTGGAATTTGAGATGACAGCATCCCTGTAAGTCACATTACCATTGTCAATCTTCTGAGCTGTCCTGGGATCAAAGTTTAGGTATTTTTGTAGGTCAGGTGTCCAATTTTTCATATCATTTTCACTGTATCTTCCTTTCCAACGTAAGTGACTCCAGGGATTTTTCAGCTGGAGGAATCGATGTCCCTAAAAGAACAGTTTTTTTAAAGTCACCTGCTTTATCTTACTGGGACATTCTTCTTACGCAAGAGATTGGCTAAAGACTTAAGAAATAGAATGTCATTAGTTTTTGTCCCACTAAAGTTTTGAATGAGATAAAAATCAAGCATCCTGTCTCAGCAAAATCCCACTGTCTCACTGGACAGTTATGCTTAGAACCATCCAAAAGGCAGCCTATTAAACAAAATCGTCTTACTAGATACCTTATATTCTCTTATATCCAAAACAGCATATGCATGGGTTGGAACTAAACCCCACTTCTCCCCTTCCTCTTCAGACATTACTCCTGTTGCTGTTGTGATAAGAACATCTCCTTTATGAAATCTGGCCAAAAGAGAGAGAGACTGCTGAATTTAGTTGCATTTAGCACATGTAAAATGAATATAGTAACATTACACTTATTGTAAACTAAACTCTGCTTCTATCTTTTCTGTTACCAAGACACTGCTTTACAGATGCAGGATACAAGTACTCTTGTCTGAGGTAGGTGCTATTGAAAAAACCCAAGAAAAGAAAGTCCAAGTGACACTTCTTTAGTATTTAAAAAGTGCAGGATGCAGAACAAAAAGACAACTTTGTTTCTCAGTGTTCGAGAAGCCTCATACTGATTATGCTGTTCTTTAAAGATATTCTTCATGACATAAATCCTCTCTATTTTTGAGATATACAGAGAATGTCAAACAGCCAAACTAAAGTAGCAATTTTGAGGGCAGAAGTTTAAAAAACTGGAGGTGAAAGGTATGTTGGCAAGAGGTACGTTTCCCACATTCCCATGATGGCCATCTGCACACTCGCATGGTTTTTGCCTGTCAGTGTAAATATGGCCTCCAACACTTTAAGAAGGTGGGATGCAATCCAGGGATATGACTGCAGCACAGGTTGGGGTACCCATGCTATCTTTAATCTACCTAGCATGTGTAACAAGTGAGAAAATGTGATGACATGGTTAGCACAGTTTAGCAACTCAAGTATCCTGTACAGCTCATGCTGAAACATGTGCTGATGTGTCTTCACTGTTGCTACCCGTGCTACTGATCTATACCTACACTTGATACAACCACACTTTCAGACTGCATCAACAGTTGCTGGAAACGGAAGGAGATCACAAATCCTCTGAAGAAAGGAGTGGCAAAATGCACTGACAAAAAAAAAAAAAAGGAAGTGTATACAAATCTTGCTGGTCTGATCTTTAGCCAAGCTAAGATCGCTTTTCTAGTACACTGATAATACAGAACAGAAACTGGTCAGAAAAATCACACAAGTCTGGGGGTACTAGAAGGAATGTACAGTTGAAAACTATACCCAAGATGCCATTATCATGAAAGAAAGATATACCAGATTTGAAGACTAGCATCATGGTCCCAAGAGGAGCATAGCACCCCCTAGCCCTCACAGATCTACTAATCTCCCATTATCAAGAACTTCTGTGGCATCATTACAGACAGTTTCCTACATTTCTTTCCATTATGAAGTCAGCTCCATGCATGAAGTTGGAAAACCCTGCTTCTCCTTATATTATTTCCAGTACCTAGCTTGGGGGAAGATACTGGCTTCCATTCCCCTCGACTTCAAATCTGTGCCCATCCGTTCCCCACAACAAATCAGAAGCTGCTAACAGAAGAGAAGTGCTAATTTTTACAGTTCTACTAACAGCAGGAAACCTTGATCTACATCTAACAGAAAATCCTCCTTATCACATAAAATTCTACTGCCAAAGTCACTGCTGACTATTCCTCTAGTGAATTCCACAGGGAAGGGGAGAGAGGGACTCTAAGGCGGCATGTGCTAAGTGACCATGATGCCAAGGACACAGACCATTGTGATTTTAGACACTTTTTTTTTTTTTTTTTTAATCAAGAACATACATTCCCAGTTACAGACTCCTATCATTGAAAAGAGCAAAATGCCTACCTCTGATAAAGCATTCTGAAAGTACCATCTTTATTGAAAGCTTGGTTGTCTGAATGCATAGCAATTCTTTCAGGTATCCAACCTGTCAGTGCATGGAGATCAATATTCTGAAATGAAAACACATTTGCTCAGCATATTATAAAGAACTGTTATCATTTTATAAAGAACCTTTCTGTACAAACAGAACCGTTTTGCAGCCTGAATACATCTTATTTTCTTCAAATGAATTAGGCCAACGGCTCCCACAGCATCTTCCTAAAAGAGAAGATACTACAGTATCTTCCTAAAAAAATGTCAGGAAATGAATTAATGGAGCATTATGTTCCATTAATACAGTTTGGAAATTCTTATGTGAAGTGCATCTTATACAAGAAAGTTTATCATCTCAAAATGGGTGACTTGATAATCAAGTATTATCCACTGGCATATTTGGTTCACAGCTTTGTCTCTGAATGCATGTTCCCAAAATAAGCCGTTTAGCGCTTATGTGCATTTTAAATTATTTAGCTTTTGCTCTAACCAGTCCCCAAGATATGAGGTATAAATGGGAAGGAGGCCTGCAAAACAAAGCTATATTGATTTAATTAGCACTGACATTATTTGCAAACAAAAAGACTAAGCTGTTTTTTTGACTTTTCCCCAAAACAAGGTCTGGAAATACTTGGATACAATTCCCATCTTGTCTAAAGTCAATACTGGTAGACAGAACCCTGGAGAACAACAAATCAAATGGAGTTATGTGCTGCCTTTGATAATTATGATGTTTATTAAAACAAATCCTACAAGTCAAACTGCTTCCTCAAATAGCATCTTGAAGAATGACAGGAAAGGAGGACACACTTATGCTGTTCTCTCTCACTGAGAGCTTCTCTGTTCTCTGAACTACAATACAATGGTACCAACTTGAACAAACTTGCACTACCTTTATTCTTTACACAAGCCCAGATTTGAGACTGTCCTAATAATCAATAAGAGATTAAGAAAGTTGAGCAACTAGAACAGTCAGTGAATTCTGGTTTTTCAAGGTACCATCCAGTGTGAGAACCTTAGTATAAACTTAAAAATATGCTGTCAAAGGTTAACAGGCAGGAAGCATTTCTTCGCATAAATACAGACAGTTTACTCTGTTCTGCAAAACAGACCTCGTTCTCTTTGTAAGAATGTTCTGCATGTCAAATTAAGACACAGCATTATATAATGCGGTTATTAAAGAAAACTATATGAAGCGCAGGTTCCATGACCCTAAAAATTTGTGCTGTTTGATGGAATAATTTACAGACTCACATAGTTACTTTGCACCATATATTCAGTTACAGTAAATGCTTAGTGCATTGATTCCCTACCTGTGCAATCCACCTAATGTGTCTTATATGCAAAAATGACACTGGGCACATCTATACATGTGCTTTTATGTACATTAGCCTATTTTAATGCACATTAAAAGTGCCACAGAAACACCCATGTGCTTTTGCTAATGCACATTAAAATAGGCTAATGAACTTTTTTCTAATACCTAACAATGGAGGTACCAAACTTAATGTGTATTACCCAAAGCAAATTAAATTAATGTGTAAATGCGCCCACTGAGACCAAAAGGGACACTGCTATAAGGCAAAAGGTATGGCTTCATGGAAGATACTACACACAAGAACCTGAAGAATAAATGTGCACACTTTTCATAAACCTCAAATATTAATGAATAAGCTGTAACCAGGTGAGCAGTATCACAGAAATCCAGTTCACCCAGTTGGACAACACTATTTGCACTGGCTATAGCTAACTGCAAGCTTAAATATTTGCATGGTCTGCAACAAATTTTTTAGTGCACATAATCACAAAATGCAATTCTCAAAGTTCCTCACTATTACAAAGAAAACTATTTGCTAGGAGATGATCCACATGATTATACTTTTTTTTTTTTTTTAACCTCCTGTCAAAAATAACCGGATACTCACAGAATTTGATCCAGGAAAATCATATCCACCCATAACCTTCATGTAAGCTTTTTCTATCAGAGAAACCCACAATTCATTTTTGTTGTTAGAATAAGAGCAAAGAAGTTCTCCATTATGGTCTACAGGCAACTGATCATCAATTATAACCTAAGCAAAATAAAAAAAAAACAAACCAGAAATTATATTGCAGCTAATAATTCAAAAGTTTTAAGTTGCTCTTAAAACATAAGAACTCTTCATAAGAACATAAGAATTGCCATTTACTGGGTCAGATCATAAGTCCATCTGACCCAGTCTCCTCCGTGTCACAGTTGCAGAAAGGGAGAGCGAACTGCATCTGACCAAGGCTTTTTTTTTACACTGTTCCTCTCACTTGCAGCCCTCAGTATTTAAGGTCTAGGAAGTTCTAACTCGGAGGCTGTACTTCTAACTTCTATCATCATATCTGCTGTCAAACTGCTAGAAACCTGACCTTTGTTCCTCTGTTAAAACCAAACAATCAAGTCGTGAAACAGCAGTGTAGCATACTAGGGAGAGCACCTGACTGGCTCTCAGGAAGCCCTGATTCTACGAAGTGAACTTTGGAGTGCACCAGAAAAAATGATTAGTTTATTCAAAGGGAGGACCACCTCTGGGCTAAGGCTATAGTTTGAATGTTTAATAAATTTTATGATAGGGATGCAGAAAAATGGAAAACAATACTCACAGGAACAGACAGTCATCCTATAGTAGGTGACAATCTCACCTACTGCAGTCTCCTACTAGGGAACACTGTCTTGTGGTAGTTGGGAGTTTCATGGGCTTGTGCCTACATAATATCCTATAGGCCACATCCTTGGCCGAACAACATCTTTCATTCCTGCCCTCTGAGTGGCAGGAGGCTCATGTGGCTCAAGACTGTCACCTGACACATGGTACACTGCACCCATGACCTTCAACTCTCATTCTTAGCACTTTAAATTTTCTCCCTCTCTCACTGGAAAATCCAAATTAGTTTTGAACCACTAACATCTTATTTTAAACTAACTGAAACCTACAAAACATTTGCAATTAAATTTTTATTACAAAAGTATTTCTTTAAATGCAGGATTTGTAGTTATCCTATGACCAAATACTTTAACGGAATCAAAACCCTCGAAAAGGCTACATAAAGCTGTCCATGTGTAAACACAGGCTTAGGAATATAAATACATATTTTGTCAAAAGTCTGACCTTGTCACTTGTTTACAGTCATAGAATAAGAGGGCCCTAGTACACGAGGAAACTGCCCCCTTTAGTGGTTTAATTGCCCTTTTTAACGATTTCATTGCATAACAGTGTATGTGTTTGGTGGCACTTTACAATTTAAATGATTGTACGGAGCAAACTAAAATACATCCCATGCATTTTAGGTTGCTATGTAACAAACTACAGAGATATTCCTCACGTGTACAAGGGCTCTATCTGGAGAAGGCGGTGGGGAAGGGGCATGGGGAGCTGGAAGTCCGTGTGTGCTCAGGAAAGCTCAAACTTGGCAGACTTCCTGTGTCCCATGCACCGTCTCTGCCTCCTTCTCTGGCTGCCAGCATACCCAGCCACCCTCCTGGGGCAGCCAGATCGTTCCCAGGCAGTCTCAGGTGGCAGGGATGGTGCACAGGGTGCTGGAAGCCCTTCAAGGCCAAGCTTCCCTGAGCACGTCTGGGCTCCCAGCGTTCCGTGCACTGCTGAATCTGGTGGGTGCTGCCCGTGAGCTGGGGCTACGCCTGCACAGCTAGCACCCTGCCCGGGTGGTCCACCGCCAGAGAGGGAAACACCGGGCCCCACTGCAGCTCAGGGGCTGTGTGACCTGGTGGCAACTTGCAGAGGCAGGATCTGCCGAGGAAAAAGTGGTGAGGGGCTTGTTCTTTTTTTCCCCGCCCCCCCTCCCGGAGTCTAACTGCCAGCAGGTTGCGCAGTACCTGAGCTGCAGAGGACCCTGGTGCTTCCCTCTGTGGTGGAAGTGCCCCCCTGGGCAGCACCCACCTCCCAGCTGGGTGGTCCCAAGAGGTGCCGCAGCTCGCCCCCTGGCTGCAGATAGACCAGCAGGCTCCGGGGGGCAAAAAAGAAAAAAAATCTTGCCCCTTACCATTTTTTCCCCCCTGGGGCTTCACTCTAACTCTGACTTGTCTGCATATCTGTTTGAAATGCCTCAGGATCTACAACAACACACTTATGCTGTTTGTTCAGAGCACCCTGATTGGGTTGTTTCAGTAAGCATTGTGATTGGCTGCTGAGAAAATCACAGCCAGAATAAGCCTATTATTATTATTATTATTATTATAATAGATTAGACAGAATAATTGTTTCAATATGGGCAATTTTTACTCCAGTAGTAGTCTACTGGGTTCACAAATATCTCTGCCTCATCCAGATATTCATCTCTAAGTGCTATACACAATTAACATAGCACATTTTTATGGCCCATTTTTCCAGCATATGTAATCTATTCACAAGAGAATCCCAGTGCCTTCAATGCATCTAACTCAGAGTACAAGGTTGCACGATAGCATGACTGGACACCAGCAGTCTATCACACATTGTAAAACCAAAATAAATTTATCAAGGTAAAGTATGTTTTCCAGTACATGTATCCAAGATTCTTGCCAAGATATAAAAACCACAGCTCCACAGTGAAATGAGTGAACTTCCAAAGTCTCAAGTTTACATAACAATTATGCTGTTCTTTCTAAAAGCTATTTACCTTTCTAGGGACACCATTGATATGAAGCTTTACCATATACTTCCCACATGGGTTATATTCGGGTTCTCCTTTTTTATTCTGTGGGTAAATTATGCTATAAAGAAAGAAAAGGTATAAATTACTATATAGTTCCAAATCATCTACATGATGGCTGAAAGCATTACATTAATTTGATCTATGCCTGGGATGTACAGTTTATGCTATCATCTGAAATTACCAGAACTACTGTATAAAACTATATTTTAAAATAAATTTGAGATTTTTTTTCAAACAAGATATGTAAGCATTATACATGCATTATACTTGCTACAGTTACTCTCCATTTAATATAAATGGAAACAACTCAACCATCAAGTTGAGTTGATCACCTTCACCATCTGCCGAAAAGCTGGCAAGTCAGTCAGCAACACGCAAGTCCTTGACTTCAGGAAAGCCGACTTTGACAAGCTCAGGAGGCTTGTCAGTGAGGCCCTAAGGGACTGTGACCACAGGGAGAGGGGAGTTCAAGAAGAGTGGTTGCTCCTCAAGGGAGCGATCCTCAATGCACAAACTAAGTCTATTCCATCTCGGAGGAAAGGCAGCAAGAGGGCACAGCAGCCCCCCTGGCTCTCCAGGGACCTAGCAGGTCTCCTGAGGTTAAAAAGAAAGGCCTACAAAGGATGGGAGTCACCTCCAAGGAGGATTATTCTGCACTGGTCCAGTCCTGCAGGGAGCATACCAGGAAAGCCAAAGCTGCAACTGAACTCCAGCTAGCTTCGAGCATCAAGGACAATAAAAAGTCCTTTTTCAGATATGTGGGGAGCCGGAGGAAAAGCAGGGGCAACATTGGACCCCTTCTGAACCAGATGGGGCAACTGACAACTGACACCCAGGAAAA